TTTCTTTTGATGAGCATAAACAAGGAATGTTTGGATGTAATATATAACTATACGTTCTCTCTCGCTGGAACATGTGTGAACAAGAAAAAGAAAAATATGTATCAAGTTATTGTAAACAGCCAGATACCTCATACATTGACGATGACAATTACTAAAAAGAGAAAAATTACAAACAATTTTAACATATTTAATATATTTAATTAATTAAAAGTTAAAATATAAAATAAAAATTAATTGCAAACATAAACTTAATTACAAGATCTCTGAGTACGTAAATTACATCTCTCCAAATCGTACTACGTATGATCGGAGGGATATTTTTGTTATGAACAAAAAATTATGCTTTACGTAAATTTGTGTTGTCATTCCGAACGTTTCACGCGTTTCGTGAATATTCAACAATCTTAAATATTCAACGTTGGAAAACAGAGCATTATTCATCTCTCGGTGCCAACCGTCCCAGGCATACATCTATTTTTGCTACTCTAATCCCACTCCAATCGGTCATCTTGATTTACGACGTCAGAAATGAAGAAATTATTCTCGGGAGCCTGAACATTTTGTTGCCTTCGTTCTTTGTCATACTGTCAACTTCATAATATTTGCCCTACGATTTATGTTTATCAACTAATTCCAAATATCGTATTACAATGATAGAATACAATATTCCCCTACAAGTACACAAATCTGTCAAATCCAATTATATTTTTTAATATTTTGCATTTAGAAGGAATATAAATCTTTGACAAATATAGGATTTATTATTTATATTTATTTTCCCAGTATATATACAAAGGTATTTTCTCATAAGGTATTTTTTCCCACGGATTCTCTCAATTAATTTAATTTATATTGAAAATCGATAATATTAAAATTTACAATATTACGAAGTAATTTATATGTTCATTTATTGATTAAAATTTTGTTAACAAATTTTAATTTTAATTTTAAATCTTCTTCTTCAGTATTCTCTCTATCTTTCAGTTTTATGAAAAAGCTCGCGCAGGTATAAAACTTATTCGCTATCGAGTCTCGCATTAAATCGCGTTAAATCGCATTAAATCAACGTGATATCTCGAAGAGCGATATAAATTAGATTTTCGTGTTTGACAACGCTTGCCAATCATTATTTCATTTTTTTTAAGATCGCATTTCTCGTATGTATTATCCGCAGCATATTCGCAATATCACGATCGCTAAGTTCTTAAAAAAATGAAAAAAAGATCAAATCAGATCTTCCAAAATAAAAATTTACAGTAGATAAAATTAATTAGTAGTAGTTAAATAAAACTGTTCTAAAAAAAAAAGAAAAGAAACAATAAACACAAGTAGCTTTACTCAATATGATTATTAAAAAATAAAAATTATCTTAAAAGAATACAAAATTTTTAAATACCAAAAATCATATCTAACTTATATCAAAATGATACACTTAATAACTATTAGTATAATTAATGTAACACACAATATAATTAACCTGATAAATAATAAATTTAGCAGTATTAATAATAAATTGTTATAATCGACGAGTTTTTCTTTTTTTTTTTTCTTGTAGATTGCCTGTAAACAAAATAATTGTCATCGTTATCATAATTACTAAAAAAAACAGTCCTCCTCTCCTAAATAACTAACTGATCTCAATATACAACGTGCCGCATAGCGTGAGAATTAATTAGAAACGTTTGGATACTGGCGGATACTCTTGCATTCAAATGCAGGAATTCGACAGGAATTTTCAATTTACGATCCACATGGACAACGCGAGTCTAATATCCACCTATGTATCGGAATCCGTCGCGGTATACTCGAATCAATTAACATATTGCGCGCTCGCACTAATTGTCGCGCGCCTACATTCGCGCGATCGTACAGCGCGTCCACTCTCTACCGCAATTAGAGTTTAATTACATGTAAAGTAATTTGCTAATTACTCCTCACCCCGTCTACAATTGGCAATACGTTGCGGTATCGATGCGGAACAGTTCGGAGTTACTTTCCGTATCGTGAATCGTTAACGTCCTGGCTGATCAGCGCCGAGAGCTAACTTTGATAATGAACAATAGTTATAATTACAAGCAACGTCATTGTATTACTACAGTAATTATAATTAATTATTTAGTTAATATCATAAGTCAAATTATGACATCATTATTTATTACCGATCATTAGAAGTAACAATTTCAATATGCATTCAGCCATTATGTTAGTTATTAGTGCTATATTATATTAATGCTGATTCAGTATTAATATTGCTAAGAAGCATGAAATTATTATTATTATTATTATTATTATTATTATTATAATATCATTTTCGTTACGTTCGACACTGTCGTTCGTGTCAAAATCGATTATTCACGAGTACAGTCATTCTCGCATCGACATGGAAATTCGTACAAACCGACACGCGAGTTTTCCGTTTCCCATATCTACAATCGATGTGACATTAATTTCGAGCGAATGGCCGAACACACGCCCGTATATCGGAACGCCCGAATTAATTAGCCTTTGCCCCTATAATCGTGATAATGTGCGAGCCCTGTAATCCCGCGAAAATTCAATCGATTCGGCGGAGTCGCGCAAGTAATAATCTGACGCTTGTTACCTACAAAGAATAATGTCAAAATGGAAAAAAAAAGAAATAACGATGTCTTTTTATCGAATTGAAGCATTCTTGTTAAAGATGCACTTTTGAGATGTAAGAAAATATAAAAATATAAAAATT